CACCAGTATTTGCATGCCTCATCCCATCACTTTCTTTCAGTCTTTGCTCAAGTATCACTTTATCAGAGACATCTTTTCTAATCACCCTAAATGAAGACTGCAGGTCTCCCTCCAATCACTTTCCACCTCCCTGCTTTAGCTTCTTTTAGCATTATTACTTCGATTCTTTTGTCATCTTTCAATATATCAATTGTGTATTGATACTTTATTTTTATTTTTATTTTTTTACATTTTTTATTTTTGAGAGACAGAAAGAAACAGAGCATGAGCAGGGGAGAGGCAGAGAGAGAGGGAGACACAGAATCAGAAGCAGGCTCCAGGCTCCCAGCTGTCAGCACAGAGCCCGTCGCAGGGCTCGAACCCATGAACCATGAGATCTTGACCTGAGCCGAAATTGGACACATAACTGACTGAGCCACCCAGACTCCCCTGTGCATTGATACTTTATTCATCTTTCTTCCTCCACTGCTAGGAACATATTCAAATGTTTATTGAATAAATCTGTTAAAGTAAGAGTATATACTGTTACCGTGGTAAACATTGATAATGGGACTCAAAGGAATGAATTTTTGGCAATGGACAGTGTTGTAGGAAAAGCAATAACAGATTAAATACAGGATGGAAGATCATGGGAGCAGGGAACAGGTCCTACATTCAATACATTGTACCCTATATTCGGGACAGTATCAGACGTGTTTGTTCATTCCTCAAACATTAGAGCTTTTTAAGTGTTTAAGTTCATTCAACCTATACTTCTTCTTTTTTTTTTTTAATAATGTTTATTTATTTTTGAGAGAGAGAGAGTGGGGGAGAGGCAGAGAGGGAGGGAGAGAGGATCCGAAGTGGGCCACAAGCTGACAGCAGTGGGCCCGATGTGGGGCTCGAACTCATGAACTGGAGATCATGACCTGAGGAGAAGTCAGACCCTCAACTGACTGAGCCACCCAGGTGCCCCCTCAACCTATACTTGAATTCCAGGCACTATGCTAGGAAGTAGAGGTCTATGTCCTCATGGAGATTAGAATTTAGTGGGGGAAACAAAAAATAAATAAGTATGTGAAGAGAAATACAAGGAAATAAAAGGGGGGTGGGATAGAGAGAAATTGGTGGGGGTGGAGAAAAGACCTGAGGGGTGGGAGTCAGAGAAGGTCTCCCTAAGGGGCTATAACAGAGCTGAGACCTGAGGATGAAAATGAGATGGTTATTTGAAGAGCTGGAGAAAACTACTGAGGCAGAGAGATCATTAAGCTCTATGGCACAGAGGCAGGAAAGGAGCTGGGGAATTCAAGAAAATGAAAAGGTATCAGTGTGCCTGAAGTGCAGTGAGTGAGAAGGAAGACACTAGTGAAAGGGGGATGTGGCCTGGGCCACAGTGTGTAGGCCTTACACACAGTCTCTGGTGAGGGTGGTATTTTACCCTAAGGTCACCAGGGCAGCTATGAGCTCCACACTTTATTTTCAACAAAACAGGGAAAGACATGACCAATTTATACTATAAAAGAATCATTCCAGGAAAACTGGTATGGACTCTTCAACAAGACACGGTCATGAAGAAAAAAAGTGTGAATGAGGGGAGACTGATCCAAATTAAAAGAGACTTAAGAGACACAATTATCAAATCTAATGCATAAAACTTGATTGCATCCTTGTTCCAAAACACATTTTGGGGACAACTGGGGGGAAACTTTTGAATATGGACTAGATGTTAGATGATATTGAAATATATTATTAATTTTCTTAAGATAATAATAATGGCATTAGGGCTATGAAGAAAATTATCCTTTGGGGCATCTGGGGTGGCTCAGTTGGTTAAGCGTCCAACTTTGGCTCAGGTTATGATCTCACGGTTTGTGAGTTTGAGCCCTGCATCTGGCTCTCCGCTGTCAGTGTGGAATCTGCTTTGGACCCTGTCTCCCTCTCTCTGCTCCTCTCCCACTTGCATGTGTACTCCCTCTCTCAAAAATAAATACACATTTTTTTTTTTTTTTTAAGAAAAATATCCTTGTTTTTTAGAGATGCAGACTGAAGAGTTTAGGGGTAAAATGTTATAACGTCAGAGATTTTCTTTAAGAATAGCAAAAAAGGGGTGCCTAGCTGGCATATTCAGTAAAGCATGCGACTCTTGATCTCACTGTTAAGTTTGAGCCCCATGTTGGGTGTAGAGATTAAAAATAAAATCTTAAAAAAGGAAAAAAATAGCAAAGAAAAAAAAAGGCAAATATGGCAAAATGTGGCAGTGTACAGAGTATGCTTGAGATTCTCTCTCTCTCCTCTCTCTCTCCCTCTCTCTCTATGCCCCTCCCCCACTCACTCTCTCTCAAAAATAAATAAACATTTTTTTAATCAAAAAAAAAAAAGACCCAGGCTGAGATCAAGAATCAGATGCTTAACCGAATAAGCCACCCACGTGCCCCAATAAGACAATTTTTTAAAAAGATGGACTATCTGTTATTTGGAAAGAGACAGATAATCAAAAGTGGAAGCAATGTGGTGAGTAAAAGGTTATGAAAATAGGTCAGAAGAGCGATGATAAGCCAGGATGTGGTCCTACAGGTACAGAAAATACATATTTAAAATATATTTTGGGGGGCGTCTGGGTGGCTCAGTCAGTTAAATGTCTGACTCTTGATCTTGGCTCAGGTCATGATCTCACAGTTTGTGGGTTGAAGCCCTGCATTGGGCTCTGAACTGACAGTGTGGAGTCTGCTTGGGACTCTCTCTCCCTCTGTCTCTGCCCCTCCCCTGCTTGTGCTCTCTTTCTCTCTCTCAAAACAAATAAGTAAACATTAAAAAAATTTAAATATACTTTGGAAGTAAAATGAGTAAGACTTAGAGATGGGCTAGCTATGGGAGTAAAGTGAAAAACAGAGACTGACTCCTAAATGTTTCGTTCTTGCAACTGGTGAATGACAGTGGCACTGACTGAGTTGGGAAGGACTGAATGAGAGGTAGCCTGAGGAATGAGAATAACCTTATGTTGTTCATACTAAGTTATTACAAGAATAATCTGAATTAAAGACTAAACTCTCCCACTAAACATTATATGACCTCCTGAAAATCACTACCCTCTCTGGAGTTTTCTCATCTGGGAAAACTGCTTTACCTATTTCCTGATCTATAAGACGGAGCTAATAATAGTATCAGGGAATCACCATATGATCCAATAATCCCACTTCTGTGCACATATTGAGAATTCAAAGCAGGATCTTGAAGAGAGATTTGCACACCCATGTTTGCTGTAGCATTATTCGCGATAACCAAGAGGTGAAAGCAACCCAAATGACAGATGCATGGGTAAAGAAAACGTATTTACACACAATAAAATGTTATTCAGCCTTAAAAAGGGGGAATCCTGTCACACGCTACAATAGGGATAAACCTTAAGGACATTAATGCCAAGTAAAATAAGCCAGTCAAAAAGACACTGTATGATTCCACTCGTATGATGTATCTAAAGTAGTCAAAATCAGAAACAAAGTAGAAAGGTGGTTACCAAGGGCTGAGGGGAGGGGAAAGGAGCAATTGGTGTTTAATTGGTACGGAGTTTAAGTTCTGCAAGATAAAACAATTCTAGAGATCAGCTATACAACAATGCGAATACACTTAACACTACTGAACTGTACACTTAATTTAATGTTACGTGTTTGTGACCATAATTAACATTTAAACTTTTTTTTTAAATAATTTTTTTTAACGTTTATTTATTTTTGAGACAGAGAGAGACAAAGCATGAATGGGGGAGGGGCAGAGAGAGAGGGAGACACAGAATCGGAAGCAGCCTCCAGGCTCCGAGCCGTCAGCCCAGAGCCCGACGCGGGGCTCAAACTCACGGACCGCGAGATCGTGACCTGAGCTGAAGTCGGACGCTTAACCGACTGAGCCACCCGGGAGCCCCAACATTTAAACTTTAAAAAGTTGTTGTCTACTGGGTGCCAGAAATTATGCAGGCTGCCTTTAACAGCCTCTCACCTCCACAGATGCTGAACAGAAAGAGGAAAACAGGCCATCCAAGTTGCCTTGTTCACTTACCTTGCAGCAGGTACTCCATCATATTAATGGTGCCTCCAGTGACAGGCATCATGGTGACTGGAGGTGCCTCCATGGTCTCCGATTAAGTTGAAAACAACAGAACTGATTTCGGAGGCCCCAGTCAAGTAAAGCACAAGAAACACCTGAAGAAGAGTTACATTGTTAATACATCAGAAGGATGGAGAGACAACAGATCTGCTCGAGTCATTGGCCTTGACATCAAAAGATTCATTTACCCATTCAAACTTTTTGAGTAGCTGGTATAGGCCCGTTTCAGGAACTGATGATACAGAAATATACACAGGAGACTTGGTCATGGAGTTACAGCATAATCTTCTAGTCTCAAAGTCTGAAATCTCTAAAAGTTTTCTGTGCAATCTTGAAGAAGTCATCAATCCTTTCACCCTGGAACTCAATGTCTTACCTATAAAATGGGGCCAACTGTATTTCACCTCCAAGACTTTGTGACTCAGGCATGCGATAACATTCAGACCCGAAAAGTGACTTGAGAGACTTTGTCTACTCTTTAATTTACAGATGAAAATATTGTGTCTTTGGGAGAGGGGCCCAAGAACACAGGAAGTCGGTGGCAGAGCTTGGATCAGACTAAAATCTAGGCGTTCCGCCTCCCTGAAAACGCCTTTCAAAGCCAGCGAGGCGGAAAGTGTTTTTAAGAGGATGGTTTAGGTCCCTTAAGTCAGCATCAAAGACACGTGCCCACTTACACTAGAAACACACCTCCGAGCGCGCTGTAGTCTCTACTCGCAAAATGGGTAATATATTCACCCCAGCACGTCGGAGCCTTTAAACGACAATTAGCCCCCAGCCCTAAAGTTAAAGCCCTCTGGGTGTTGCAACACCTCTTCTTCGTCTTTCCATTTCCGGCAAGAGGCCGTCGTTACGTAAATCTCCACACCGACGTAAGGGTGCCGAGAAGGGATAAAAAGCTCCTCTTTTCTGGCTCGCAAGCAGAAGCGCATGCGCAAGATGCCTTGCTGCGGTATGGGAGATGGCGGCTTCTTTTGGAGCGTTCCTCTCGGATTTACCGGTGTCGTTGATGTCATAGGCCACCCTGTAGGAAAATATTTTTTCAAGTTCGACGACCTGGAAAGTTTTGCCTTAGGAAATCTCTTGACGGGCAAAAGAGAGCCTGGGAAAGGGAGCTGCAGAAAGCAGAGGAGAGAGAGGGTGAAAAGACACCCTTTACTGCGAAGTATAATGTTCTGAGCAATTGGGGAGCTTAGCAAAACACTTAATATTTGTTCACTTTACTGTATATATTTTACTTCAAGTTGAAAATATAGGGAGATAAGTAAATTCAACGAATTTGAACGTTGATTTGTGTTGAGTGTATAAGGTGCGGACAAAGTGAGGACTAGAGTGAAGTGGATGAGGCACTCTCCTGGAATGAAAGAATCAAAGGGACACCAGAAATTCAGTGGCTGTTAAGGACAGCCGAAATAGGACAAGAGAAGTGACAGCCAGAGGTTGAGAGGGGCCAGAGAATCATAAAAGTAGGCATAGATTTGCCACCTCTTTGTAACATAATGGTTCCTAACAAAACCTTGGATCAAAAAGATTAATTTGGTTTGTAATGTTTCATTAATGTTTATGATGTTGAAAGAGAGCAGGAAAGTGGGTAAATAAAAATGTTGGTGCCAAAAAAGAAAGAAAGACAGTGGCTAAGATAAATAATATTTAATGCAATATTTTACAAATTTAATGCAAACAATACTGAACAGAATATCAAAATTTAATATTTGACGGTCACAGCAGCCCTATGAGCCACGTACAATCATTACTGTAATTTCACTGATGGGGAAACCCAGGCAATGAGTTGTTAGCATACAAAGGAGTGGAGAGACTGCGATACAAACGTAAGATGGTTGACTTCAGAGCCCTCTCTCTTAATTACTTTACTGTACTGTACTTGCACTTCTAGCTCTAGTTCCCCTGCTGTTACCTACACCACCTCCCATTCATTTTTTTTTAATTGAACATTTCTTGAAAGTCTAGACTGTTCCAGGCTTTCTGTTAGCTGTTGACTCCATCTGTACCCTCAAAAGAGTTTATAGGCAAGTTGTGGGAATCAGAGGGTCAAACTAAGGAGCCTGTACCATGGTGATTTGATTCAATAGAAAAATGAGGTATCAACAGCTCAGCTGCTTTGGAAGCAAGCAGGACACTTGATCCATCGTGGGGGCATCAATGAAGGATTCCTGGAAAAGGTCATCAAAGCCCAGAGTAACCTGAAGGATCAATAGGTGTTAGATAAAGAAGGGAGGAAAGGGAGTTTCAGGTGAGGGGAACAGCATGTACAAAAGGACACAGAGTTAGGTAGAATTAGGATATAGAATCTGAGGTTAGGGGCCAAAATAAACGAGTCCAGGGAAGGAGTAAGGCCCCAAATCCAGAAGAATTTGCATGCCGGTCTAAAGAACATTTGTGAGCTTTAAAAAGATCACCCGGGGGACCCCTGAGTGGCTCATTTGGTTAAGTGTTGGAATTTGGCTCAGGTCATGATCTCACAGTTCTTGAGTTCGAGCGTGCATCAGTCTCTGCACTAAGGAGCCTGCTTGGAATTCTCTCTCTCTCCCTTTGTCTGTTCCTTCCACTCACCCTCTCAAAATAAATAATACAAAATAAGAAGATCACCCTGGTTGCAATGTGGAGAAAAGCTTGAGAAAGGAGAGTTTGGAGAAAGAAGACCAGTGAGGAGCTTTGACGCAACTCCAGCTGAGAAATAATTGCAAGAAAAAAGAGATCTTAAAAATACAGAATGATTTGATGACTAACCAGAGCTAAAGATAGAAGGAGCCACAGGTGTCTAGATTTCTACCTTGGGTGGCCACGGTAGTGCTTTTTTTCTGAGCTAGGAAACACAAAGCAGTGTGGGTGAGGCAGGAAAGGTGAGTTCATATGTAGATACATTGAGCATGAGGTGTTTATGAAACACACAAGTGTTAGTGCCCAGCCAGAGTTAGAAGAGAGAGAGCTGGGCTGGAGGTGGTCATTTCAGAGTCAGAGCCTCATAGATGGTAGCTGAAGGCATGAGAATAATTGAGATCACCCTGAAAGAGTGTAGAACAGGAAGACAAGATGGCTAAGAAACTGGACCTTGCACAGGACTCTGATGGTTATTAAGGCTGCATATACCCCAGGGCTTAGGATGTGCCTCCTGATCTGCCTGGTGATTCACAATGTTGGGCAGAATGACAAGCTCTCAGCGTTCTAATGACTGGAGGAGGTTGCAAAATTGCTGGCCCTCTTTTTTTCATATACAGACACCAACTTTGGAAAGTCCAGTGAATTATGGGTCCTTTGAGGCACCATAGTATTTATCCAAATTTTAGCTGGCATTTCAAGGTAGGGTTAAATTAAAAAAGAAAAAGATGGACAGGAAATCTGTGAACAAAATGGTAAAACTTGGACAAAGTCTAGGAGTTACAGGGGTGGATTTTTCTGATGAGGCTGTGAGGCCTGGAGCCTAGGATGGGCCTCACTTCTGTCCTCTGCCACTACCCAGCTGTGCTACCTTGGGCAACTCACTTCCCCTCTCTGGGCCTCAGCTTCCTTTCTTGTGAAACAGAGATAAAAATAGTACTTTTTAAGGTGGAATTTGCAAAAATAAAATGAGATGTTCATGAAACAGCGCAGTGGCTGGCTTATTGTAAGCAATCAATAAATGGTTGTAACTGTTATTGGTTTTATATCTTGTATCTCATTTGTGCAAGCACATTCTGTCTTATTGAATATATTTTGTGCATGTTTCATCTCCCTGGTACAGATTATGAACATCCTGAAGGGAAGAATCATCATTTTCTTCACATAATGTGTGTCTTAGCTGGAGCTGCTATACCAAAATGCCATCAAATGGGTGAGTTATAAACAATAGAAATTTATTCTTCACAGTTCTGGAGTCTAGAAGTATGACATTAGGGTACCAGCAGGGTTGGGTTCTGTGAGATCCCACTTCTGGGCTGCTGTTGCTGACTTCCTGTATCCTCACATGGTGAAGAGCAGAGTAAAGCAAACTTCTCAGGACTTTTATAAGAGGACTTTTTATAAGACCACCAGTTCTATTCATGGGGGCATTTCCATCATGACCCCATCTAATCCTAATCACCTCCCAAAGGCCCCACCTCCTAGTACTGTTACATTGGAGGGTAGGGGTTCAACGTACGAATTTGGGGGGAGACACAACAGTCACTTCATAATAATGTGCTTTGTGTGTACTAGGTGTTCAAAAATTTTGTTGAAAACATCACAATTACTACCGATTATTGAACTGTTGCTCTACACCAATAACTTGTCACTATATGTGTGTAGATATGCCAAATACTGCTAAAATGTACATATTACCATCTCGATGTTACAGAAGAGGAAAAAGAGGTTTAGAGAGGTAAGGTGACTTACCCAAAGCCAAATGCCAGCAAATGGCAGAACTCATTCACAAGTTCAGTTCTTTCTGACACCAAGCTTGTCTCTTTATCATGCTTCCTTCTGAATTCCTGGGCTCTTTCTCCACAGTGAATTTCCCCAGTTACTACAGTTAGTGCCAGCAAAGGAGGAGAAAAGTTTATACATCAATGCTTCCCAGCCAGTCACCAGACTGGGCTCAAAGAGTTAGTTAGGACCAGTTTTTAAGCAGTCTTCATTGGGACAGCAGACCATCAGTATGAATTTCCAGACACATGTACCTATACACAGTTTCTTCATCAGCTCTCAAGAGTGGCCTGATGGGAATTAAGATAGATCTACACCACCATTATATGCAATGCTAGACCCTCACTCTTAGTGTTACAAGCTAATATTTCCCCAGGAATGACCTGACATTTATTGGCTGATTCCTGTATGTGTAGTCCTGTGGAAAAGGTATAACCATTGCTTTTCAACCTAATTAACCCCAGCATCCTCATCAGTCATGTTATCCCTCCATTCAGAGCAAAATCCAAAGTCCTCCTTATGCCTACATGATCTGCCCCCATCACATGTTACCTTTTTGACCATATTCCCACCATCCCCATCTGTGCCTGCCCCCCCCCCAGCCCAGCTCTAGCCACGTTCTTCTCATTGCTCTTACTTGAACATGTTAAAGATAACTCTCATCTTAAGTCTTTTGCAATTATAGGAAGTGTGCCTCCCTCATTTCCTGCTCTATTTTTCTTCATAGCACGTTTGACTAGGCAACATACTGCTTACTTACTGAATTGTTTATCCACCCCACCCCATTAAAGTCATAAGCAAGCTCCGTGAAAGCAGGGCCTTTGTTTTGTTCACTGCAGTATCCCCAGCTCCTGGAATAATGCCTGGCACAGTGCAGGCACTTGATAAATATTGTTTTTGTTGACAGAATGATTAGTAGAAAACAGAGGTTAGCAGAAGGATTATTAAATGATTTTCTTGGTCTCCTATATTTAGCCAGCACTGGATTTGGGGGTGGGAAACCTAAGTCCTTAGATTCCAGGCCAGGGACACTGCAGTTTTGCTCTAGTATGTGCTATCCAGTGTGGCAGCCACAAACCACGTGTGGTTACTAACCACTTGAAATCTGGCTAGTTCAAACTGAGATCTGCTATGGCTGTAAGATATACATGGGGTTATGAAGACTTATTATGATAAAAAAGAATGTGAAGTCGTGTCATACTTTAAATTTTAAGTTTGTTTACTTATTTTGAGAGAGAGAGCAAGCAGGGGATGGGCAGAGAGAGAGAGAGAGAGAGGGAGAGAGAGAATCCCAAGCAGGCTCTACGCTGTCAGAGTGGAGCCCGATGTGGGGCTTGAACTCATGAACCGTGGGATCACGACCTGAGCTGAAACCAAGAGTCAGATGCTTAACCGACTGAACCCCCCCAGGAATCCTGCATAATACTTTTTAAATTGGTCACATGTTGAACTGATATTTGGGGTATTTGGAATTTAATATAATATATCATTAAGTTTAATTTCTTCCTTTTTTATTACTTTTTAAAATATAACTACTAGATTACCTTGAATTACATATGTGGCTAGCATTTTATTGCAATTGTACAGCACTAATATAGGATCTAGATTTGAAGATGTAGCTTTAGAGCCAGACAGATCTAGGCTTGAATCCTAGACACTGCTTATGTGGCTTCAGGCAAGTTATTTAACTTGTTAGGCCTTTGGCAGTGCATGACACATACTGTATGTTGTAGGTATGTAATGAATCAGAGTTACTATTAGGGAATGGTTTAGGAACTGGGGAATGTTTAATTTGGAAAAGACTTGAGAAGGGTGGAATATAACATCTGTCTTCAAGTATATGAAATTATGATGAAATCAGCAATGAGAGGGTGGAGAAGAGGAAGGAAGTATCTGACATTTATTGAGCATCAGGTATCAGAGACTTTATACATATTAATCTCATTTCAGTCTCATAGCACTTTAACCCACTTGACAGATGAGGGAGAAGTTAAGTTGCTTGCTAATAACTGGTAGAGTCAGTATTAAAACTCAGATCTGTCTGCCTCCAGAGATTTTGCTTACTATCCTAAGATTCTCTGGTTCTAAGAAAAACTTGACTTCTTTTGTGTAGTTCCAAAGAACAGGATTAGAAGTGCTGGGTGGAAATTATAGGGAGACAGATTTCAGCTTTATATGAAGAACACATATAGGGACCCCAGTGCTGGTGTCTAGGAGTGAAAATGACTGTCTGTATGAGAAGTAAACTCCCTTTCAGTAGAAGTATTGAGGCAGAGATTATGGTAGGAGGAATTCTTGCCTGGAGTGGGAGATTGATCTATTCTATCACCTTGATTCTTAGACACTATTCACTCTAAGTCACAGCTTTTACATAATAACAGAATTTCAGGCAATTGAGAAACAGCTCCATCTACAAGTACTATTATAAGACAAAGCCTGATAAACATGGACACAAAGTACATCTTCAAGTTGAAAAAATATGGTAGTTGAACCTTTATGACTTCAAAATTCACAGAGACATCTAGCCTTAGTAATTCTTTACTTTTGGATTTTTTTTTTCATATTATGGAAACAACGGCATCATTATTAATAGTAACTACCAACAGCAAACACCCAATGACAAATACTAAATGATACAATTCTTGCTCTTAAGGAGTTTGGTTTGCTGAGAGTCCGGTAAAACATCCCAGATTATTTTGTGCCCGGTAATATTCACTGGCTGCTGACTCAAGAGTTCATCTCCCTACCCCACCCCTTGTATGACAGGCAGCATCAGCCATTTCATCCTCTTAATCTCAAGGCAAGGACCTAAGAAAGTCTGTTGCAGAAGGGTAATTGGCCTATTTACCTGCTCCTTTCCACTTAGCCCAGCCAACCTAACCCCCGCCTCTGGTTGACCAGGTGTTGCGGTGCCTCGAGGGGATAGGCTATAATAGTTAATGTGTTACATGTATCCATAAAAGATTAAAGATTAGCCCTATTTTAGCTGAACTGTAACTGTCTGTTTGGGTTTCTCCCCTCTCGGGTCTGTCTGGGGAAGTCAGTGTGGTTTCTGCCTGAGGATAATTAACCCACTGGGTCTCGAATTCCCTAGTTGGAGGCCCTTTGACAGCTCCCGTCTAGTGCATGCTTACTGGGTACCATACCAGGCTCTGTTGGAAGCACTTTTTGTGAGTCTGGATCCCTCATTTACTCCTCATACCAGCCTTCTGGAGCAGGTGGTGGTCTTTCCAGTCTCAGAGCTGGAAGCATTGTGAGTCTGCCATGTGCTGTCTTTAGAAGGAAGAGGGTTTGCTTTTGGTCCCCTAAGATTTCATCATCATTAACCCCTTCCTTGGGTCAGAGAGTCATATGCTATTATCTGCATTATCAACTCAAACATTTCCTGGAGGAGACTCTGGGTCCAGCCCAGAGGGTAGAAAGGAGCCCAAGGAGACTCCATGGAGAAGCAGAAAGGTGTGGGTTAACACACTCTTGCTTAGGGTTTAAGATGGGCCCTGGAGTCAGGCTGTTTGGGTTAAAATTCTCTCACTGTCAGGGTGCCTGGCTAGCTCAGTTGGTAGAACATATGACTCTTGATCTTAGAGTTGTGAGTTCGAGATCCACGTTGGAGGTAGAATTTACTTAAACATTTTTTCTTAATGTTTATTTATTTATTTTTGAAAGACAGAGAGAGACAGAGCATGTGCGGGGGAGGGGCAGAGAGAGAGGGAGACACAGAATCAGAAGCGGGCTCCAGGCTCCCAGCTGTCAGCACAGAGCCTGACATGGGGCTCAAACTCACGAACCACGAGATCATGACCTGAGCAGAAGTCGGACACTTAAGCGACTGAGCCACCCAGGTGCCCCTAAATTCTTTTTTTTTTTCATTTAAAGTTTATCACTGTCTAAGCCATGTAAACTTGGGCAAGTTACTTTGCCTCTGCAAACCTCATGCCCTCATCTCTCCAGTGGAGAGAATACTAGTAATTTCCTCTAAGGTTGTTACAAGGATTGACTGATACACTTGGCAGGTGACAAGTATCAATTAAAATTTTAACTATTCCCAATATCATTGTGGGATTTGTACTCTGTTAAACATGGATTAACAAACAAGCAAACACAGGTCACATCTGGACCCAGGTATGTACTGGTGTGTGGCCTTGAGCTGGTACTTGATTTCTCTGAATCTGTTTTCTTCCTTCCTTCTCTCCTTCTTTCTTTTTCTTTCTTTCTTTCTTTCTTTCTTTCTTTCTTTCTTTCTTTCTTTCTTTCTCTTCTTTCCTTTCTTTCTTTGCTTCTTTCTTTTTCTTTCTCTTTCCTTCTTTCTTTCTTTCTTTCTTTCTTTCTTTCTTTCTTTCTTTCTCTTTCTTTCCTTCTTTCTTTCTTTTTCTTTCCTTAAGTAGGCTCCACACCCAACATGAGACTTGAGCTCACAACCCTGAGATCAAGAGTCATATGCTGTACCAACTGAGCTAGCCAGGCACCTCTCTCTGAGTCTTTCTTGAGAGCTTGTTTGGAGGTTCTAGCAGGGAAGAACTCTGAGTCTTTCTTAACCTGTAAAACAAGGAGATTACCTACTTGAAAATATTGCTATGAAGATAGATGATAGATAGAATATAGATGATATATACCCGTAGAGATATTATGGTACTGGTGCTTAGCATGTAATAGGTGTTTTCAGACACTGCCTTTAAGTAGCCTGGCTGAGGGGGCAGGGCATAAGCATTAAAAAGAGAACTAATGTAAAGAAAATTTTAAGGAAAGTTGGTATGTCCCTGTATGGACATAGCAAGCACACTGTGACATATCGTTCAGTCAACACTTAACCGTGTGCCTGTTGTAGGCCAAGCATTGTTCTGGGCTCTTGGAATATAAGAATAAGCAGAACAGGCAGTGCTTTCTACCCATGGGTCCTGACCCCGTGCTTTAATAAAATCACCTTTTTTTTTGCTCCAAAAAAAAAGAACAAACAGGACAGCCTCAATCCCTCCCCTGACAGAGCCTACATTTTAGTGGAAAGAAGTGATAAAGAATTGTGTTTGACTGGCTTTTCTGCTTGCTCTTAGGGTTCTTTCTTCCCATTTCCTTGGGTGCAAGAGTGAGAATGTGGCAATGGCAACAATCATCATGGCAGAGAAAAGCTGCCAATAAACAAAGGAGGAAGTGGGCACAGGGTCCTTCATAAGGACCAGTCAACCAGGGAGCTAATTCTCAATATCGTCGTCCTTCCTGCTTGTTAATTGCTGCCATTTGTTTGTTTATAGTGAATGGAATTATCTCCATTGGCAACTATGCACCAAAAACCCATAGAAGGTCCCACCTTCGTGCTATCTGCAGATGCAAGAATGGTTGAGGCCTCAGATCCCAGCTCCTACTACAGTGAGAAAAAGAGAACTAATGGTAGCCCTTAATGGTGCACATGAGCATAGCAATCCCCAGTTCACCAAGTGCTTTTAATTCGTTTCAGTCCATTCTCCCACCATCAGTAGTAAGAGATAGGAAGAAGGGCAGTGTGGCAAAGGACAAAGAAGCAGACCCACGTCACCTAGGCTGAGATACCAACTCCACCTTTGTAAGCTGGGTGACCTCAAGCAGTGACATCGTCTCCTCCAGCCATTATGAAGATAAAAGGAAATGTACATGACACATCTCGCAGGGTGGTATGTGCGGTGACTGGGTTGCTGGTATAGTGGCCGTCCCAGTTCTATGGATATGGACATGGCTCAATGGAAGTCATGAAAAAACTGTAAGCAAGAGCTGAGACTTTCTGAGAGATCTCCAGGTTAGAAGAATTCATCACTGTTGTCTATTCTTCCCCCAAAAGAGGCAAAAATGGGCTGTGCAGAAAATGGAGACCATACCAAAGGGGTGACTTAGGGAAAGAACTTCTCACCTTAGGCCCATAGACTTAAAAGTGAGCTTTCAGGCCCAGTTCAGCTCCCTCCCCCCAACCTGATAGAGCACATGGGGAAATCAAGGTCCAAGGAGCAGAAGGGACTTGCCTAAATGACTCAGCATAGAATAGGAAGCCCAAAAACTGGCTAGACTTTCCTCTTGCTATTTCCTTCTGAACCCAAGCTCTTTAGTTGTACAGACTTGTGGTCAGTTTTTTTTTTTTTTTTTTTTTTTTTTTTTGGTCAGTTCTTGACCTTTCACTAGCTAGCTGTGTGATAGAACATCTCTAATGTTCAGCATCTGCATTTGTGAAATGAAATAATAGCATCTACTTCACTGGTTTGCTGTAAATATTAAATTATATGGTGCATGTTAAATGCACAATAATTTAAATATTTATACATTTTCGGGGCTCCTGGCTGGCTCAGTTGGAGGAGTGTGCAACTCTTGAGTTTAAGCTCCACATTGGGTGTAGAGATTACATAAAAAATGAAATCTTTAAAAAAAATGCATACATTTCCCATTTTACAGATGAGGAACTGAGGCTTGTTGAAACTTCCCTTGGTTCTCTCTGGTCAAAGAGAGAGCCTAGAAGAATCGAAGAAACCTCTGGCTGAATATTGGTTGGGCATAGGGTGAGCCAGGATCTCCTTATACATGGTACTGGGAGCCACCTTTCTGTCCAGGAGCTAAAGAAGACACTAGCCACCCAGAGTGACCTTCCTTGTTCCTGCTGCTTCAATGCACAAACAGGTTGTGAAACATCTGGGTGGTGACTCAGCCTGGGGGCCTGTTCTGCTGGTCAGCTCAGACGGGCTAGGGCTGTTTGGTTGAGCCTCGAAAGGACATCCTGTCTAACAAACACATTGCCTGTCAAAGCCCTGACAGGGGGTGCCAAGCACAGACTGTGAACTCTAGCCCCTGAGGCGTCACAGATGATTGAACTGGGGTGCCTGAGTTGTATATATCTCCTTGTTGTTATTCTGACCTAATAACCAACCAGGGTCAATGTCAGGAAGAGGGAAACGTATTAGAGGCTGGGAGCTCCTATTTCTCAAGAGGCAGTTTGAAATTGATAGCCAGGCCCTGGGCTTTTGGTGTTCCCGTTAGGCAGACCTGAGTTCAGATCCTAGCTCTGCTGTTTATTGTCCTTGTGAGCTTGGACAGGTGGTTTACTCTTGGTGGATTTCAATATCCTTATTCTATAAAATGTCCATTTTTTCAAAATTATCTTTTAGAAATAAAAGATGTAAATTTCTTGAAACATAGGAAATTCTCCATAAATTGTTATTAGGATCCTGTGCTAAGGTCTTCCTCTTCCTCTACTCCAAACCAAAATTTTCCCTTCTGAACTGAAAGGATTTATATTGAAGAGGCACTCAGGCAGAAGTGGTAAGATAGCAACCAGATATACTCCAAGCCCGGTTTTTTCATTGCTATTCCATTAGTTACTGGATTTATTTCCTAATATTAGAATCAAGGAGTCTGGTAGACTGAAAATTGGTTCCCCAAAATATTCAGATCCTAATCTGGAACTGGTCAATGTTACCTTATATGGCAAAAGCGACTTCGTAGAAGTGATTAAATTAAGGATGTTAAGATTATCTGGGTGTGCCCTAAATGTAAGCACAGGAATCTTTAAGCGCGAATGAGTGGGGGAGGGGCAGAGAGAGAGACAGGGACACAGAATCCAAAGCAGGCTCCAGGCTCTAAGCTGTCAGCACAGAGCCTGATGCTGGGCTGAAACTCACAAACCACGAGATCATGACCTGAGCCAAAGTCAGATGCTTAACCGACTGAGACAGTCAGGTGCCCCAGCACAGGAATCTTTATAAGAAGGAAGGAGAAGAGGGGCGCCTGGTGGCTCGGTGGGTTAAGCTAGAGGATGCTTGGTTTCAGCTCAGGTCATGATCTCACGGGTTTGTGAGTTTGAACCCTGTGTCAGGCTCTGCACTGATAACACAGAGCCTACTTGGGATTTTCTCTCTGCCTCTCTCTCTCTCAAAATAAATAAATAAACTCAAGAAAATAAATAAATAAATAAATAAATAAATAAATAAATAAAAATAATGCTACATTATGCTACATGAAAGAAGCCAGTCACAAAAGGACTTCTTATTGTGTGGTTCCATTTATATAAAATGAACAAAATACACAAATCTAGAGGGACAGAAAATATATCAGTGGTTGCCTAGCATTGGGGGACGTCAGGATTGGGGGGTGATGGCTAAGGTATAGGGTTTCTTGCGGGGGTAATGAAAATGTTCTAAAATTGATCATGGTGATGATCGCACAACTCTGTGACTATACCAAGTTATGTAACGTTATTTATGTATGTAAGCTGTATCTCAATAAAGTTGTTAAAAATAACACTAAGAGCTAACATTTAGTGAATACTTACCAGACACTGCTGTTGTTTAAGGGCCTTCTTATTTAATTCTGGAATAATAACAACGTAATAACAACTAAACTTAGCATTTGCTATATGTCAGGCACTATTTTATTTTATTATTATTATTATTTTTTTTGTTTTCGAGAGGGGAGAGGGGTAGATGGAGAGAGAGAGAGAACTTCAAACAGTCTCCATGCTCAGCATAGAGCCTGATGTGGGCTTGATCCCACAAACTATGAGATCATGACTTGAGCTGAAACCAAGAGTCAGACGCTCAACTGACTGAGCTGCCCAGGCTCCCTGTCAGGCACTATTTTAAAGCATTTTACGTGCATTAACCCCTCAACCCAATAATGTAGATATTCTATAGCTCCATTTTAAGATAAGAAAACTGAGTTGGGGTGCCTGGGTGGCTCAGTCGGTTAAGCTTCCGACTTCGGCTGAGGTCATGATCTCACAGTTTGTGAGTTCGAGCCCCACGTTGGGCTGTGTGCTGACAGCTCAGAGCCTGGAGCCTGCTTTGGATTCTGTGTCTCCTTCTCTCTCTGCCACTCCCCCACTTGTGCTCTGTCTCTCTCTGTCCATCAAAAATAAATAAATGTAAAAAAAAATTTTTTTTTAAAATCCTGGGCCCTGTGTTCAAATTATGCCTCCACCATTTTTTATTAGCTCTGTGTCCTAGGATAGATTATGTTTCCTGTCTGACTCAGCTTTTACTTGACTTATAGATGTGTTATGAGAAACAAATGATATTATGCATATAAATGTCTACGTTTAGTGCCTGGTACATTGTAAGGACTTCATAAATATTAGTATGATTACAGAAAATTTAGAAAATATAGGTAATCAAAATGAAGAAAATACTTGACATAACCATTAATTCTACCACCATTAACACTTGCATCAATTTCAATATCTTTAGCTGCAAGTGAAATAAAAAAACAACCACAAGGAGGTACCCCTTCAAGTGTCGTGGGATCAAACCCCACATTGGGTTCTACACTGACAGCATGGAGCCTGCTTGGGATTCTCTCTCTCTCCCTGTCTCTCTCTATCCCTCTCCCACTGAGGCTCAGGCTCTCTCTCCCTTAAATTAGTGAGCATTAAAAAAAAAAAAAAAAAAGGACAATAAGTGTTGGTGAGGACGTAGAGAAGTTGGAAACCCTCATACGTTGGCAGTGGGACTACAATATGGTTTACCCTCTGAGGAAAACAATTTGGCAGTTCCCCAAAAAGTTAAACATAGAAATACCCTATGCCTCTGAAATTCCACTGCTGGCTATATACCCAAAATAATTGAAAACAACCACTTAAACACGTGCACACCTGTCCATAGCAGCACTAGTCACAATAGCCAACAGGTAGAAACGGTTCAAATGCTCATCAATGGATGACTGAACAAACAAATTGTGGTATATACATATAATAACATTTTTTAAATGTTTTTATTAATTTATTTTCGAGACAGAGAGAGACAGAGCATGAGCAGGGGAGGGACAGAGAGAGAGGGAGACACAGAATCTGAAGCAGGCTCCAGGCTCTGAGCTGACAGCACAGAGCCCGACGTGGGGCTCGAACCCACGGAGTGTGAGATCATGACCTGAGCTGAAGTCAGACACTCAACCGACTGAGCCACCCAGGCGCCCCAATAACATTTTATTCAGTCATAAGAATGCATGAAGTATTGACACATGCTACAACATAGATGAACCTCAAAACACGTTATGCTAAGTGAAAGAAGCCACACACAATGGGGCACATTGTTGGCTCAGTTGCTTAGGCGACTGACTTCGGCTCAGGTCATGATCTCACAGTTCGTGAGTTCGAGCTTCGCGTCAGGCTCTGTGCTGACAGCTCAGAGCCTGGAACCTACTTCAGATTCTGTGTCTCCCTGTCTCTCTACCCCTCTCCTGCTCACGCTCTGTGTCTCTCTGTCTCTCAATAGTAAATAAACATTAAAAAGGCCATATATTGTATGATTCCATTTATATGAAACACTCAGAATGCAGAATGATGGTTCCAAGGGGCTAGGGCAAGAGGAGATGGGAGAAACTACTTAATGAGGAAGGGGTTTTACTCTGAAGTGACTAGGAAATATTTTGGAATTAGAGGAATGTTTGCACAACATTGTGAATGTACTAAATGCCCCTGAACTATGGCATTTAGAGTGGTTGATTTTATGTTATGTGAATTTCATCTCAATAAGCTATTTAAAAAACAAAAAGCTCTCAGATTTAAGCGAAATTAAGAAGAGGGCACCTGGGTGGCTCAGGTGGTTGAGCATCCAACTTCGGCTCAGGTCATGATCTTGTGGTTCCTGAGTTCGATCCCCACATCCGGCTCGCTGTTCTCAAACGTGTCAGCACAGAGTCCACTTCAGATCCTCTGTCCTCTTCTCTCTGCTCCTCTCCCACTTGTGCTCTCCCCCCAAAAGAGAAATATATTAAAAAAAAAAAAAATAGAGAGAAATTAAGAGGACTTCTGGTATTATTAAGTCCTGAGGTAGAATGGCTCTAGAATTGTGTATTTCAGTACCTCAAAGATTTCATCAAGGACCAAATTTCTTTCTAGCTCTGTTTTTCCACTCTCAGTTTGTTGGCATTCCCCTCTCTTCCATACTTGAAAGATGGTTGCCATAGTTCCAAGTACCACATGCAGATGTAACATCTAGCTCCCTTAGATTGTAGTGGAATAAAGGATACCTATTCCTGTAAGTAGCTCTCTCTCTTTTTAAGATAGCTCAATAAAAAGCTTTATTGAGATATATTTCACATAGCATACAATTCACCCATGTAAAATATACAACTCAACGACTTGAAAGACACCCACAGATTTGTGTAATCATCACCACAATCAATTTAGAACATTTTTTCACCTCAGGAAGAAATTTAGTAACCGTTAGCCTTTGCTCTCCATTTCCCCCAACATATTTGCCACCCTCAACTCTAAGCAACAACGAATCTATTTTCTGTCCCCATAGATTTGTCTGTTCTGGATGTTTCGTGTAAATGGAATCACACAATACGTGGTCTTCTGTGACTGACTTATTTCACTTAGTATAATGTCTTCAAGGTTGATTCATGTTGTAAAATGTATCAGTTCTTCATCCCTTTCTAACAATGAACAGTCTTCCATTACATGGATTTTCTTTATCCATTCATCAGTTGATGGACGTTTGGGTTGCTCCCACTTTTTAGTTATTACACATTATGAACATTATGTCAATTACACAAACATTTGTGGATAAGTTTTTGTGTAGACAGATGTTTTCACTTCTCTTAGGTGTATACCTGAGAATAGAATTGCTGGGCCATATGGTGACTCTGTATTTTACTTTCTCTAGGAACTGCCATATTGTTTTCCAAAGTGGCCGCACCATTTTATATTCCCACTAGCACTGTATGAGGATTCCAGTTTCCACATTCTTCTCCATAAGTTGTTTTTTTTTTTTTTTTTAAACTAGTAAGAAACCTTTCCTGGAAGCCCTCCAGCAGACTCTCCTTTCTGTCTCATTGGCCAGAATAATAATTCTGTTTTGGCTGCCCTGAAAGCAATTACTAGCATTTCCATGTTGGACTTAAGAGTTAAGTCTTCAGCTAAGCTCTGGATATGGACACCTGAACAAACTTGAGGTTCAATGTACAAAGAAGAAAAACAAAGGAGGTTTGGGGTAGGTAACCATATTCTGCTGTAATGTTTTTCAGGCCTGTTCCTTACAAACATATGAATATATTTTTAAACAAACAAAAAAAGATTATACTATATATATATATATATATATATATATATATATATATATATCTCCACATATATATATATATAATTTTGTAATTTGACTTTATTATTTGATGACATACTAGATATGTCTTCTATAACAATACATATTCATTTGTAACATGATTTTAATGGCTGAATGACATTTGTGAGTGCTTTAAATTTTGTAACTTACAGAAGCCGTTCTAAGTTTGTCTTGGCACACTTTAATTTTTTTTAATGTTTATTTTTGAGAGAGACAGAGAGACAGAGAGACAGAGCATGAGCAGGGGAAAGGCAGAGAAAGGGAGACACAGAATCTGAAGCAGGCTCCAGGTTCTGAGGTGTCAGCACAGAGCCCGACATGGGGCTCGACCTCACGGACTGCGAGATCATGACCTGAGCTGAAGTCGGATGTTTAACTGACTGAGCCACCCAGACGCCCCTGTCTTGGCACACTTAACATCAGACTCATAGAAGAATTTAAGTGTTGGTTCCGAGAGAAGGAGATGGATGATGGCAGAGACCAGTTTCTTGAATCTTCTGTCTCTTTAACTCAAAAAGTCAGGAGCCCTCTCCCCCTCTCTCCAGGAGGCACTC